TCAAAAATACTGTATTTAAATCATTAAAACTTTTCAGAATTTGATTAATTACTTAAAGCTAAAATATAATTATGTATAAAATGCTACTCAACATATTTATTTATAATCAAGATATCTTTTTAACGTGTCGTTCTAATTGTTAACTATGCAATGTCAAAATACAGTCCCGTCGGAAGTAGGGTTGTGAATATAAATTTTATAATACATGTAATTTTACGTAAGTTTTAGACAATTATTAGAAAATTATTTTTGTACAAAAAATAAAGTTACTAAAGTATGATGATAAAATTAATTAGTAAAATTTTGAGAATCATAATATTTTTCACAATTTTATTAATGTTGCTATGAAAAATGATAAGATCTTAAACTTTTACTAATTAATTCTATCTTTATGCTCTAAGTAACTTTGTTCTACATACAGTCAGACCTCCTTAAATGCACGTCGTCGGGACCAGCTTTATAGCGTGCATTTAAGGAGGGTTGCAATTAAAGGACACTATGGAATTGGAGTTGAAAAGGATAATAATAAGGCATTTATTTATTTCAAAAAATCAGCAGATATGGGACTTGTTGGAGGAATGATACAAGTTGGAGACTGTTATAGAAAAGGAATAGGAGTAGTGATGTGCCATTTATATGTTACCCAAATTTTTTTAGCATACAGTACATACAGTACGTACAGTACGTACAGTACGTATAGTACGTATAGTACTTATATATAAAAATTGTTATTTATTATTTTTTTTTAAGCGATCCGCGATTCTGCAATATGTAAAAAATTAAGATTATATAATAAAGTTACTTTACAGAAACTATAGTTTTTTACTAAATATATTTAATATATAACAATTATATAATCATTATATATTTATAATAATATTTTTTTAAGCATATAATTAATATATAATAAATATATAATAAAAATATAATAAAAATATTTTTTATTTCTGTTAACTCTTTTGTAAGAAACTGTTTTTTTTTTTTTTTTAGTGTTAAGGTGGGATCTTGCCCATGACTTTATTTATTAATAATACTTTACATGTATCATCACATTTTCTGTATTATATATATCAAATACACCAAGCTCAGACCTGGATCCTATTGGTAACCTACCCTTTGGCCGAAACCATTACTTGCGCAATAGGTGTTCCTATTCGCTACCAGCCACCGATCCAATTATCTGTAATCCAAACCTACCAGAGTGGCCATCATCATTGACACACTCACCTGGTATTTTACCACCCTTCACAAGTTCTATTTTGGTACACTTCTCTATGATGACATTTTCCACATTTCTCATACAACTTATATCTAAGCTTCCAAAATTGGTAGTTCCTTCTGGGATATGGCCTTGTAGCCTCAAGGGCTACTTCCAATCTTGGTTATCTTCAGCTAGTCTGCCAGGTAGTTTTACAAAGAGGAACTCATGCTGGCCCAGGTTAGGCCTTATCATTAACGTCTAGTTTAGTTAGTATGCTGCCAATTCCTGTTACCTCATGGGTAGGTACTCCTCTGTGTTGGTGCAGTCTTCTGTGTTGCATTATAGGTTACCCTATAACTTCCAGATTGCGGATTTCGTATATGGCTTGTAGTCATAGTACTTCTAATTTCAGTATTTGGTGTTTCTTGTCAATTTCTGGTATACAAGCCTGATTTGTACAATTGTACTACTAGCCTGATAAATCTAGCCATTTTGAGTTTTTAACATATACCCTGAGTTTCAGCCTTCTCACTTTGTTGTCATGGGGTCTTTCTCTAATAGGCCAAGTAGCTTGGGGTAAGGTGCTTCCAATTCTAGTTGGGCCAATCCTTTTTCACAAATTATACTCGTGTTCTTCACTTTTCTCAC